TTCCCTGGGACCCACAAATTCCACATCCATCGAACAAAGCTTTCATTTAACAAACTCAGTCCTATGAGGGTTTTCCAGTTTGACTCATGTCCCATCATGTTAAGGTTGACTTGGCATTATTAAGCAGCACTTATGAGACTTTTAACTCGTGCCATGGAGTCATTAGTGTTTACTGTATCCACCAACAAATTTACCTGCCAACAAGCATGAAGCAGACCAGAGAGGGCCCAGCAGGACCCTTATCATAATGGTACAGGATAATTAGTCCTTCTCTTGACATTGCCGGGAGCAAATCTATGCCCTCTCCTGTGGTACGGGCTGCAGTGCTTTTATCAGCTTGCAGGGGATTTGTGCACAGCCCTATTTATCACCAGGCACGAGCTGGGATAATGTAGCTAACAACCTTTGCATCTGTGCTGGCTTCTCCTAACCCAGGATGAAATAAGTGGAAGGTTGAAATGAAGGTTGAATTGAAATGAAATAAGAATTGTATTAGGACCATGCAGAATTGCAGATGTACTGGCCTGGGGTAGGGTATTAATCAGATGGGGTGCAAAACTTACTGTCCTTTTACCTTTCACTACTCGGACTATGATTATCAGATAACATTAGGAAGTTATATTTTGTACAGTTTGTACATTGTACATGTATTTCATACATGAAGCCATGAATAAATCAAGCAACATAATATCTGAATACTGTAATACTAAATCACAATAAAAATTGCAAGCTGTACAGAAGTGTGTACGTCTTTTTCACATTCAATATTGGGAGAAAATGCAGGGCTAATTTGTGGACCAAAATGAGACTTTCCCACCAAACTTACCCCTAGTTATAGGAGAGTAACAGCTTCCATCAGTCAGGCACATGGCAATGGGCCCAAGGAACAGCAACTACAAGTACACATTCCAACAAAACATGTTTTACATTAGCTTACAGCACAGAACATGGTATGAATAAACCTAAAGTGAAGTGTTTATAAATATAAATCATCCATATCAAGCTTGATACTGAATGTTTATTATCATTATAGAACAGTCAAGGATCCAGCTTAGTTCAAAATTATCAAAATGGTCTGATTATTCTTCATTATTTCTACAACACTGAACAGTAACTTATAGCTATGATATAAGCAACAAGACTGTCTTCTGGTTCATTACATCACTTCACATTCACAACACCTATTCATTTGATAATATGATCCACCGCCATATCTTAATTGAAGTGATTACAATTAATCATAACTTCTGCTGATGACTGGTTGTGTGAAAACTATAACATATAATTTTCCAGCATATCAGTGATGAATTTTTGGGCAGTATACATGTAGTACTGAGCATTAAATTCCATTATTTCTACATTCATGCAAACGAAACATAATATCTTACCATTGTGAGGAGTAAAGGTAAAGTAGAGGCCAGGAGAAAGCCTTCTGTTTGCAAGCCCAGCCACTGTAGAAGGTGGGGTCCCTACAAGACAAGATGTACTAATGAATAAGACTTAGGTAGAGATGATTGCATGTGATTTGTTCACATTAGGCACCATTCACATACATGTACCTGTAGTAATCAACTGTTGGCAAGTGTATGGTGTCGAGGAACTCTTGTTTTGTGTTATGCAACTAGCTTTGTGACAGGCTGGTGATGAAAAGATTAGCCATCATTTCTGGTAAGAGCACTTAACCAGTATTACTAGGAATTACTGACATTTGAAACTAACACCTACTTGAGAAAATTTCACAGGAAATAGGCTATAAACTTACCTGGATACATTTCAGATTTATAACACGTACATGTTATATAATAAGGTTTCTATAACAAACATGTCTTTTACCAGTGTGTGAGTGGTATTACATTTCCTGTTTCATCACAAGTCAATCTATGTACCGGTATTATCACTAAAAGCTAATGGATGGGTATCTTCACCATGGAAAACAGGATATAAATTTCAATTCAAAGATTACTGGATTAATCTGCCAAAGGGATGAAACTGGTCCGTAAATAATTTCATCTCATAAGGTTCAGTTGGGGAAGGATTGAATAGCAATTTCTTTCTTTACAACCATTTGTTTAACAAGAGCTGATGTTTCACTGACTATCTGTCATCTTCATCAGAGCAATTATGACTGGTTCACTGTGCACTGAAGCTAGGTGTTGTTGGTTCACTGTGCACTGAAGCTAGGTGTTGTTGGTTCACTGTGCACTGAAGCTAGGTATTTTTGGTTCACTGTGAACTGAAGCTGATGATATACGGTACCTTTGTTGGTTACAAGGAGTCTAAAGACCTGAATGTTGACACTGACTGATGAAATGTTTGATGGCTTCACTGATGATGAGGTTAAGTGACTTTTAGTCTATGATGACAGAGATCAATCAAATGTTCAAGATCCCAGGTTGATCATATTATACTGTGACCACAGCCTGCCCACAACTAGTGATAATACAGTCTACCGCTTGCATCCACCAGGCACCAGATGACTAGAAATTGCCCTTCATCATTGTTGACCCAGATACATTGTATCATTGGGCTCGAAAAATCTCTTCTTAGGAATGAGTGCACTTATGCATCTAACCTCCAAATTTACGGTAGGTGTGAAGAAAATTTTGGGTGCAAAACATAAAGTACAGTGTCTGTAAAACCTGATTACAACCATTACTTACTGATGTACTATATATGTATACCAGTACTTGTAACCTATAACATGCATACTTAATATTATTATTACTTACCTGAGGGTCAGCAGAGTCCTTGCTAATGAGCCACAGATACAGCGGCGCTAACAACGTGACCAACAGTACTCCAACAAACCTCCTCTTCACTGTGGTAGGGTGGTCCCTGGGAACAACACAATGTTAGGTTATTCTCATTGAATACAATGTTACAGAATATTCTTAATCATGGTTGAATTATCGACTGGATGGAAAATTGCATAATACCATGAAATAAAAAATACAGACGGGTCCAGAACCCAAATAAATGTTATCATAACACAGCCAATGTACATGCCCTACAGTACCCTACTCACTCCCGAAAATATATACATATAATAGTATAATACACATAAAAGATAGCTATTCTGCCATTGCTAAAAATGTCATCATCTTTTGATTCAAGATAAATGTATATATAGCAACACAATGGACCATTCATAACGATCCCTTCATTAATGAGCTTTGCATTCACCTTCATACCAAGAATGGTGCTGAATGAGTGAGATGGACTAATTTATTTTAATTAATCTCCATAGAACAAGGCAACAGGAAACCATGGGGATACGGGACCGGGAGTACAGTATTGATCAGAGATGCTTCTTTTGTGTTACTCCAGAAGGGGACCGATGGACCCAATTGAATATACTGCATTCATTTTCCTTGTGTGATGAAGCAAACAGGTTGACAGAGAGAGGGCAGACATTGTGAAATACTGGTACTGGCTGATGATTATTGAATGGGCTAGCATTACTGCCGGGCACGAGATGCAATTTATGTAACGGCAACCAGCTGTCAGCACTACTCAATACATGCATGTCCTTAAAAACATCTCAAACTTCAAATCGTTTACTGAAATGAAATGTTAGTGCTGAAGGCAAACAAAATTGCAAGGTGAATATTCGGTACAAGAAATATAATCTTGGGAAAGTGATGAAAAGCAATTTGGCTGTCCTGTAACATGACCACGATCACTGGACCATGTTTACGACTGCTGCAGTCATTACCTGGAATGGAGCGATGGAGCAATAGGCTTGGGAACAAATTAAAGGCCACTAGTTATTATCTTTCCCATCTGTTCTGCTACTCATGCCATCTACAAGCATCTTAGCTCTCAATTTTTCTTCTTCACATTTTGTACGTCTCTCCAGTGGCATGTTAGAACCAGGCACTTACTTACGGAGGACCTACATATGAGCAACTGCTGTTTTTGTTTACATGTAAGATGCTTTTAGTTATTTGAAGATATAATATATGCCATGGGTAGGCATATCACCCAGCTGTCACCTGCTTTTCTCCTACCACTTGAAGGCTGTGACATGTGGAAGTTGCCTGTATTCTGAAGTAGCGCTAGAAACAAACACTTCAACAAAACGCGAAAGCCAACATCTGCTTTGAGATTAGTTATGATGGTATGTGTATAACTCTATTTTGACACAGACGAAATTCCCCAGTTGTTGTTCATGGTTGCTAAGATACCATTTGTGAACTAGATATAGAAAATATCGACCAAATTGGAAATTGTTCTTGAATAATCTCACACAATATGTTCCGCAGTTTGATCCAGCCTTAATACATCATTTGAAAAAAAAAACTGCCATAAAACCATAACAAGGATCTGGAGCTGAGTAAATGTGAAATTTTGACCTGCAAAAAAAAAATTGCTCGCAAGGTTGATTATCATATTGCCTTCAGTCTGATTCCTTCTCTGTAGATCCAGCTTCTCTTATGCAGACGGCCAGTCTGGGGTGTAACAAGACCGCCGTGCCAGCACAGGCTCGGCTCACGCACCGGCAAGCACAAGTATCAGACGACAGACGAGCTGCCGGGTCCGGATTCATGTCTTTGATGATCATTGATCGTGATAAATCTCCCTCAAATATATATTATATTCGCACAGCCTCACAACTACCTATTCTTCTCTCCCCCTGTAGCCTTACCTCGGCAGGTCGCTCCTCCAGGCGTACAGGCTGCCGACGTACGCCACGGCCAGGAGAAAACAGGAGCAGACAGCACCTGAACAACTCACGTGCGAAAACTCCACAGCCGCCATCTTTTGTAAATTGTACCCACAAGGCCACGGGTCACCTGTGGAACAGTCCACTCTGCAGAAGGGGGTGTTGCATTGAACTTGTGATACATATAAGGCAACATTGCACCTGTGTCCCTGATTTTAGTTCATAACGATATATGCAGTATTGGATGATTTATTGCTATCAAGCGTGTTAGATAAATGGCTGCTGAGCCTTTGTCAACATGATTGTGAAACTGATCCAAGTGTCACTTATCAAGTAAGCTGACAAGCAGCATTAGCACTTGTATACCATAATCTTAATAGAATATCTACTAGTGTTGCCAAAACACGTTGGCAGAAATCATGACACCAGAAACCAGATATCTGTATCTGTATCTGTATAGCCGGTATAACTGCCTTTCGGCGTAACACACCAGCTTCGCAGGCACGCGGCGCGGCGGCAGCTGGCTATATTACACCGATAGACTTGTTACACCTAACCCTTGAAGATATTGTGTTATCATCGGACGTTAAATGGTCGAAAAAATTCCAGAAGAAAGAGGACAAAAAATGAGATAACATATCTGGCCGCCCGACAGTTGCTGCCTCCCTGAGAAGGTGGATTAACTCCAGCCAGGAAGAGATTGTATAAGCACAGGCTTCTTACTCACAAAAAATTATATAAACATTATACAGATACATGTAAGTCTCATGTGACCATTAATGAGACTAAACAGCGAGAAATTAGATATGTTACCATTCACGTCATGTTTATACAAGGATGGCATCTGTCCTGGGATTTGGAGACCTAAGCTTGGTCCATAATTTTGTTACCCAACATTTGTCATTTACATCACCATTAACATGCAAATCTGTTAGTTAAGTAGCTATTGAGTCTGAAATCAAGTGCTAGTATTTCATTCTCTTTTCTTAAACAGAACTTAAGACACATCCACTTTTATATCAAGTAGTGTATACAGTGACAATACTTCACTGTTAGCAATTTATTGTCTTATTATTGCAGGATAAGTTATAAGATATAATAATATTACACATTTGTTACCATAATGCATACATTTTGTTATACCTAATCTCCAAGCAGATCATACGGTGGCAAGGCAGTATCCATTGGCCAGAGGAGTGTCCATTAGCCACCGAAGATCTGCCTGCAGTCGAAACGTCAAAGGCTATTAACACCTAGTTGTTGCCTACTCAGAATGTGTTTGCCAAGTAGTTTATTGCCCTAACCACTGGGCAAGGCTATTGTCCTCCTTGTGGGGATGCATGGTTGACTGTTACAGGAAGTCTGTCTATGGGTCACAACACCAACTGTTATACATGTATTGGGCAGTTTAAACAATGGATCCGGAGGAGAAGGTTCACCTTGTGTTTTGTAATGTCTGGCATGGGGTTTTAAATTCTAACCATAAGTATCCATCTCCATGTTTCAGAAAGCATCACAGTGCCAGCATACAGAATTGTATCTGATTCAGTTAGGGGGGGAACTCCCACTGAGATGTGCGCGGGTGACTGAATTTGTCCCAGATTCAAGCTATAAACCGCTTGTAAAAACCTTAGCGTGGCCAGTTTTTCAATTGCTGTTAATAGGGGCACAAGGAGGGGCAGCAACACCATTTTTGAAAGGAAGTGCTCCTCCCTGTGCGAGTGCAGGCAGATCTTCGGTGGCTAATGGACACTCCTCTGGCCAATGGATACTGCCTTGCCACCGTATGATCTGCTTGGAGATTAGTTATACCATGGTTATACACTCATTTATACTTTAAAATTAACACTAGATGCAGTATTCTCAATGAGATTTTTGATATCACATAGTGATAACTTAAGATTAAATATGTCAAGTCTCTATTAATGCATCATGAAGGCAGCTTCTTTAGGATCCATGTCCTTAACAGTTCGAGTTCTTGAACACACATTTCATGGTACATTTTGGGAAAGAAGTGAAACTGGCATGGTACTCCCAAACTGTCCATCTTGCGATGTGTCTGCTTAACCCACTCCGGCACAACTAGAGGATCCTTTCCTCCCTGGCACAAAAACAGCTCTGGTAAGGAACCATTGGCTTCTCTTACAGCCTGCATCAAACAAAGTTGTCAGAGGCAAAAATTAACGAGTGTTGCACTTTTCGTGTGACCTGCTAGGTGGGGTAATTTGTCTTATCCTCTCACAGCACATTGTATCAATCAATTACATAGTGAAATGAGAAAGTGGAATTCAGTAAAGCAAACATAAAGTCATCTTTGCTTAGACATGCCAACTTAATGTTAAGTAGAGTGGTACCTTATAGACTACAGAGTCATTGTTGAGGAAAGCTGACAAAGCAGCTACTCCAGCCACAGAGGGGTGATGTCTGTAAGCCACCTGCATGGCCATGGCACCACCCATAGAGAAACCACCTGTACGGATTAAACAATACAATCCCAGGATCATCTAATGTACATTTTTGTCTCATACTGTATTGATTCTTCAATTTGTAACTACTACATGTAAATGTAATTGCTGTATGCCTAGATGGAACATACCTTCCAATATAGAATACATTGAAATGTATTATCATTCTTCATCTATAAACATGGTTTAACTAAATATAGTCAACCATGCCCTGTACCTCAGCTCTGTTTG